TTCTTTCTTTCTTTCTTTCTTTCTTTCTTTCTTTCTTTCTTTCTTTCCTTCCTTCCTTCCTTCCTTCCTTCCTTCCTTCCTTCCTTCTTTCTTTCTTTTCTTTTCTTTCTTTCTTTTTTCCGCTTAGTTGGTAATGAGCTTTTAAAGTGATGCAAATTTAAGCAGTGTTTCCAAGTATGCTAGAACATCTAGATTTACTATAACCCAGCTCATTTTCTATCAACTTGGCAGGGTGTGTCCTTGTTAAAAACTCAATATGCAAAATTACTAAAATTACTACGATCCACTCATATTTAGTGTTAGCTTTTTAGAGGAATAGACTTCTATGTGAAATTCATAGTTTAAAAACTCCAATGAACTCTGAACTGTTGAATGTCTAACTTAGCAATTCTCATTTAATACTTCATAATAGGCAGGATTGCATAGTGGTGAAGATTATCAGTGCTGGGGCCAGACTGCCTGTGTTTAAATCCAGGCTCTAGGCTTTATCTTTCTAGAAGCATTTCTGAGCGAGTCAAATTCTTTTAAAATTAAAAAACAGAAGCACTTTAAAAATCAGAATTACGCCATTTGCTAGTTGTTTTCCTCTGTGTAGACTTCAGTTCAGGATTTCCCAGTAATAGTGTAAAAACAGAGAAGGCAGAAGCTTTATGCCCACTGACTGCATGAAGAATGTGGGCAAAAAGGAAAGTTCACTGGAGGGTGGACTCATTCATAAAATCTGTGTTTTTTCCCCTTTCCCTTTTGTTATGTTAAGGTTTTAAAAGTCATCTTTACTTTATTCACATAAAAAAAATCAGAACTACCTTCAACATAGTAATTTTGACCTTGTAAAAATGGTACTGGACAAACATGTCATCTTGTAATTAACATGCTGTTATTATTCTATTGTTATATGGGATAAGAATTTGATGAAGTTTAAATGAGAGATGTATATATATTTTAGATTTTACTTAATCTAAAAAATATGAAATGAAAAAAATATTCCAAACATAACCTTAGATGCAAAAAAATAGGATTCTTAGGATGCGGAATGGCCACCGGTCAAGGAGGGAAAGGGCCCACTGTAGCACCACTTTGACAAATATGGGAAGGCTGCTGACTTCTGAGCAGTCAACATGCAGGGGAACCACATGGCAGGTAGTAATCAGGTATGCTGGCTCATGTTGTAGATGTCAAGAAGTGAACCAAAAAGACAAAGAAGTACGTCATGCTTAGCCACCGAATTTTAAAATAGCAGGCATGGTATTCAATCAGGAAAGAACCAGAAGATTAGAGAGTGGGAGGGGAGAGAATGCAAAACAAACTAGATATTGCACCTTTTCGTGCCCGTCCCCTCATGGCACTAAGAGTAAATCGGTTAGAAATATCAGAAACTATAAACATAAAACTTGAGCTGCCTAATTGCAGCCTAATGACAGTTTAGCAACGGACTTAAAAGATTACTTAATAGATCACGTCTCTCTTTTTTATTTTCTTTTTTGCTGGCATTTGGCTTTTTGGAGGGAATTTCCGTTTCTTATAGGCAATCATTTGTATGCTCTGAAATTTGATATGCAAAAGTGGTTGATCCAGAAAAATAGTTTGAATCTTTACAGAAGCCCCTTTTTAGTAATGTGTAGAAGGTAATTAAGATGTTTGTGGATAGTGGGGCAAGGCCCACATAGCATTGATCATTGCATTACTTCGTAACTTTATTTCCCTGGCAGCCAGTATGCATATATACTCCCATCCTCACAAGACTACATAGTCAAGTCCAGCTCTTATTTTTAATGCATGCCATTTAGGAGGAACCTAGGCCTCATTAATTCATAATCTACCAGTTTAGAATATGTGATAATTAATGCAGAAGCTGGGCTAAAGTTTTCCTTTGATTAGCAAAACCTTTTCCCTTAGATTATTGGAAATTACCAGTGTAAAAATATTTCATAGGGATATATAGAATAAGAAGACAAACTACAATGTCTTCGAGTTCCCTAGAGTACTTTGGAATCACCTTTCATTTGCAAATAATTAATATGCTAATTAGAAAACCTCTCTATTGATTGAATTGCTTCTCTAGTGACTTATGTTTGATAACAGTCTGAATGACTTAACTGTGTTATCTGGTTTTGAGATACTGATTTTATTATACTATTTACAGACTAACAAATAAGTAAATATTAGGCAGATTTAAAAGCAATATAATTACTTTAAAGTTTTAGAATTCAGACTTAGCATACATTTGTTCTGGTATTCTTGATTAATTCCAATCAGTGCAACGATACTATAATGCTATCTAGGCTTACAAATTAAACCAAGCACACTCATTTTTTGGTATGCAGAGCCTTAACTTGGGCATTGAAAGCACAGTAAGTATTCAATAAAGCAACATTATTAATATACTTTAACCATTTATCATAGTAAGAGAATGTTTTAAAATCTGGTAGGAAATTGTTTCTTCAAATAAATGGTGTTGCATATAAATGCTGTAGTATGGTATTTTGCATGCTGCTGCTCACAAA